TACATGCTAGCAAATAGCTTCTGAGGATACATTAGTGGATTAAAGAAGATCTGGGTACCGGGCAATAGACACTCGCAAACATTCATTCGGGGATTTGTCATTAATTCGGGCAAACGTCCCATTTGGGCATTTGTCCCATTTGGGCATTTGATCCATTCAGGCAAAAGTCAATGCGGGCAATCTTCGATTCAGGCATTTGTCCCATTTGGGCATTTGTCCCATTTGGGCATTCGTCCCATTTGGGCATTTGATCCATTCAGGCAAAAGTCAATGCGGGCAATCTTCCATTCAGGCATTTGTCCCATTTGGGCATTTGTACCATTTGGGCATTTGTCCCATTTGGGAAATTAATCCATTCAGGCAGAAGTCAATGCGGGCAAAATTTAGAACAATTAGAACAAACGTACATTCGGACATGTGTCATATTCAGGCATACGTCCATTATGGAAAACGGCCTTAAGGCAAACGGCACTGGCACCGGTTTCTTTCGGGCATTAGTCGTAGATCTAATAGATCAAAGTGTTTATATCTGGATCTGTGCGGATATTTGAATATAGAAGCTTACAGTTACAGCTAAAACAGTTAAACAGCATGAAAGATCCTCTACAGTAAAACAGCATGGGACAGCCTCTACAGTAAAAGTTAAATTTAAATGACACGAAACAGCCTTTACAGTTAAATGACATGAAACAACCACTACAGTTACATGACATGAAACAGCCTTTACAGTTAAATGACATGAAACAGCCTCTACATTAAATGACATGAAACAACCACTACAGTTAAATGACATGAAACAGCCTCTACAGCTAAATGACACGAAACAGCCTCTCAAACAGAAAACAATTAGTCACGTGAATCGGGCAGCTTTATAGCTAAACCAATCAAATGTAGTGACGTAAGCCTTTTATAAACCCGATAATTAAACTCCCGACTATTTCATTAGCGATAAGCTTTAGAACAATCACCAAATTCCCTGTTACGATCAACCCGTCAGGAACCGCTGATTTACTCCGTTCTCGTGAATCTGTTAAATCTGGCCACGTGATGCCCGTAACAGGTGCGTCCAATTAATTGAAATTAATTGCACGAGAACAACAGCATGTAGCAGACGATATGTATCGCGCGGTGCAGGCGGGTGCTATACATTTGTATTGGGTGCTAGACATTTGTATTGGGTGCTAGACATTTGTATTGGGTGCTAGACATTCGGATCTGGTGCTAGACATTTGGGTCTTGTGCTAGACATTCGTATTGGGTGCTAGACATTTGTATTGGGTGCTAGACATTTGTATTGGGTGCTAGACATTTGTATTGGGTGCTAGACATTTGGGTCTGGTGCTAGACATTTGTATTGGGTGCTAGACATTTGTATTGGGTGCTAGACATTTGTATTGGGTGCTAGACATTTGGGTCTGGTGCTAGACATTTGTATTGGGTGCTAGACATTTGGATCTGGTGCTAGACATTTGGGTCTTGTGCTAGACATTCGTATTGGGTGCTAGACATTTGTATTGGGTGCTAGACATTTGTATTGGGTGCTAGACATTTGTATTGGGTGCTAGACATTTGGGTCTGGTGCTAGACATTTGTATTGGGTGCTAGACATTTGTATTGGGTGCTAGACATTTGGGTTTGGTGCTAGACATTTGTATTGGGTGCTAGACATTTGTATTGGGTGCTAGACATTTGGGTCTGGTGCTAGACATTTGGGTCTGGTGCTAGACATTTGGGTCTGGTGCTAGACATTTGTATTGGCTGCTAGACATTTGTATTGGGTGCTAGACATTTGTATTGGGTGCTAGACATTTGTATTGGGTGCTAGACATTTGGGTCTGGTGCTAGACATTTGTATTGGGTGCTAGACATTTGTATTGGGTGCTAGACATTTGTATTAAGTGCTAGACATTTGTATTGGGTGCTAGACATTTGTATTGGGTGCTAGACATTTGTATTGGATGCTAGACATTTGTATTGGGTGCTAGACATTCGTATTGGGTGCTAGACATTTGTATTGGGTGCTAGACATTTGTATTGGGTGCTAGACATTTGTATTAGGTGCTAGACATTTGTATTAGGTGCTAGACATTTGTATTGGGTGCTAGACATTTGTATTGGCTGCTAGACATTTGTATTGGGTGCTAGACATTTGTATTGTGTGCTAGACATTTGGGTCTGGTGCTAGACATTTGTATTGGGTGCTAGACATTTAAATTGGGTGCTAGACATTTAAATTGGGTGCTAACCATTTGTATTGGGTGCTAGACATTTGTATTGGATGCTAGACATTTGTATTGGGTGCTAGACATTTGTATTGGGTGCTAGACATTTAAATTGGGTGCTAGACATTCTTATTGGGTCTGGTGCTAACTATTTGAATATAATGCTAACCATTTGAATCTGGTTCTAACCATTTAGATCGGGTGCTAACCATTTGCTCGTGCTAACCATTTAGAGCTGGTGTTAACCATTTGAATCTGGTGCTAACCATTTTAATCTGGAGCTGTTTGAATTTCATGTTAACCATTTGATTCTGATGCTAACCATTTGTATCTGGTGCTAACCATTTGAACCTGGTGCTAACCAGTTATATCTCGTGCTAACCATTTAGACCTGGTGTTAACCATTTGGGGCAGATTTAGCAATTACACACGTTCCGTTATTTTTGTCCCCGCCGAAATGCTCTCCCTTGTGTTTTCACATTGTAAATGATGCATGCTCTCCCCTTACCGGGCCGTCGCGTTATCGATACATCACGACGGCTCATCAGCCGATTACCGCCGTATCGATTACGCCTTGTAAGCCCCGGTCGGCTATTGTTTAAAGCCGAATTTGTCCAAATATTGTGGAGCGGAGACGAGTGATTGGTTAGTGGTGGTGGTAGTGGCATAAGGAGCTATGACAGGGGATTTATTCGGTGTTAAGGTGTGGGGTTGGGATGGTTGCCAAGGGGGTGTGGTTGGTTGTTGAACAAGATGGAGGATTGGTTGGTACGTTAAGGGTTGGCTTGCGGTTAGAGTAGTTGGCAGTGTTTCTTTCAAACTTTATTTTATCCATGGGGGGGGGGCACTTGAAACTCTCGGGGGAGGGGGGCGGACAGTGGTAAAAGTATATATTTTCTAAATACATTATATTTCGTTCAGGGGGGGGGGGGTAGATTGTTGGGGGGGGGGGGAGGGGTCTGCCTTCACCCCTCACCGAAGAGATGCCTGGAAAAAACTCTGGTAGTTGATAGGTAAAAGGTTGGTTTGTAGGTAGAGGATTGGTTGGTAGACTAGTTACAGGGTTGGATGGTAGGTACAGGGTTGGCTGATGGACGAGGAAGAGGGTTAGCTGGTTGTCAGGTTAAAGGGTTGGCTTGCTGCCAATGTAGAGTTGCCTTATTGGTAGAGGGTTGGCTGGTTGACAAAGTAGAGGGTTGGTAGACAAGATCAAGATTTGGCTGGTGGGGTTAGGTTTTGCTTGATTCAAGGAGAGAGTTGGCTGGTAGCATTATGACAATACGAGAAAAATGGCCCCCCACCCCCCCCCACCCCCCAAAAAAACCATGTCTACCGTCCCATTCAACGAAATATAATTATATACTTTTTCCAGTGTCCGTCCCCTCCCCGAAAATTCTACCCCCGCCCCCGAAAATTTCAAGTACCCCCACCCCTCTCCGGGGAGGAAAAAGTCTGAAAGAAACACTGGTGTCGCGCTTAGCCACTACCCGAAGAATTGCATTAAAGAAATTGCAAGAAAACCACTTTTTAGATTAGACACATTAATTAGGCGGTAATTTTATTATAGAGTATCGATGAAGAAATTTCTTTTGAGTTAGGGAGGGGGGGGGGGGCTCAGACGTTCTTACGCGGGGGTGGGGCTTCGCCCCTACCCGAAGAATTGTATGAAAGAAACTCTTCACGCAAACCACTTAGATTAGACACAATTTCCTTTTTATTCAATGTTTACTCGAGAATCAATGACGTCATATTACTGTGTGCACTCTCCGGCTAGAGATTATTTTCTACTCTATGCTAAATGTGGCGACGTCATACTTCGTTTTTAATTTGCAGGTTTTTAATTTGCTTGTGTTTTCTCTAGAGCGTTCTTGTCAGATAGACAGACAGAGCGTTCTTGTCAGATAGATACATAGACAGACAGCGAAACTATTAGTATTATAATGTGCAGCTTTGTTGGGTATCCACAAGTGCTGGGTTACTGATGGCAAGGATGGATGCAGCTTTGAGCTTTATGGCACCGTGGATATTTTATCCAATCAATAAAGCAATACTCTGGTCAAAATGCCATGAGCCTTATTAAAAAATTTATTCAGGGTTATTTAAATTTAACACCCGATTACCATACAAATCAATGGGCAGAGATCTTGAATACATAATTAGCTGTATTAAAAAAAATCACTTACATCTTTAAAATACAGACTTGGCACATTAAAAAACATACTTTCCTTAACAAAATGTTAATGAACATTTTTAGTCTTTTAAAAACACATTAACATTTTTTTAGCTTAAATGCTTAATGAAACATATTTGCTTAAAATCTGAAGTTTCTTAAGATTAAGTTTTTAGTTTTATTTCACACGGTATTCCCATGTGAAGTTACGGATTGTGGGATTGAAGAATGTGGTATTAATGATTGGGTATTGAAGTATTCAATTAAACAACAAGTATGTTTGTGGGATTGAAGTATTCAAATATGGCATCAATGATTGGGTATTGACATTTCGAATATGATATCAAAGATTATGAGATTGATGCATTTAATATGACATAAAAGATTATGGGATTGATGTATTTAATATGACATAAAAGATTATGGGATTGATGTATTTGAATATGAAAAATCGACACCAAGGGTTGTTGATTCGGAGTATTAAAAGGTGACATTAGTGAGTGTGGATTAATGTATTCGAATGTGATTCAAGGGTTGTGGGATTGAAGTTGTCGAAAGTGACATTAAGCATTATGGGATTGACGTATTTGAATGCGACAAATGTGACGTCAAGGACTGTGATTGAAGCCTTCGACGGTGACATCAATGATTGTAGGATTGAAGCATTCGATGGTGACATCAATGATTGTAGGATTGAAACATTCGACGGTGACATCAATGATTGAAGGATTGAAGCCTTTGACATTGACATCAATGATTGAAGGATTGAAGCCTTCGACGGTGACATCACTGATTGTAGAATTGAAGCCTTTGACATTGACATCAATGATTGTAGGATTGAAGCCTTCAACGGTGACATCAATGATTGCAGAATTGAAGCCTTTGACATTGACATCAATGATTGTAGGATTGAAGCCTTCAACGGTGACATCAATGATTGCAGGATTGAAGTATTTGACGGTGACATCAATGATTGTAGGATTGAAGCCTTCGACGGTGACATCAATGATTGTAGGATTGAAGCCTTCGACGGTGACATCACTGATTGTAGGATTGAAGCCTTCGACGGTGACATCACTGATTGTAGGATTGAAGCCTTCGACGGTGACATCACTGATTGTAGGATAGAAGCCTTTGGCATTGACATCAATGATTGTAGGATTGAAGCCTTGGATGGTTACATCAATGATTGTGATATTGAATCACCGGGAATGTCAGCAGTACAACTCTCTAGCCTCACACTATTCAAATTAAAATTCCATTTTTTTTAAAACAACATAATTTAGCCTCCAAGTTGACAAAAATCTGGCAGAGCTGATCCACTCTCCCAGCGTCCTGAATCCTAGATCAGATCGTAGACTTGCCAGTTGGCACGGGGCTGGTCGATAAAGCCTTTTCCCCCGTTCATTTCCCGGCAATTTTTTTTTTAATACTGCGTTTAATTTATCAAGATTTGGAAAAAAAAAATTCCTTCATTTTCTATTCCTTTTAGTCATAAAAACGAAAGTAATTACATTTTAACAGGAAAAGATGACGTCTTTCGCTTTTATTTAAATAAAGCAAAACAATACTTTATAATTTTGTTTTAAATATAGTCTAGTAACTAAAAGAAATTTCAATTTAAAAAAAAAAATCAAATTTACCAACAAACCCTCTTGCTAGTATTGCCGATGAAAACATCTGAAGTTTTCCTGAAAGAGAAAAAAAAAAAGTTATTGAGATCGCTCTCCAGGACGCAACACACATTTTGATGACGTCATTACGTTTATTTTCGAATTGGGGGTGAAGTTGTATATTCTTACAGGAAATTTATCATGGAGTGGATGATTGGAGTAGCTCTTCCTGCCCAGCAGATTTGAAGTCAGATTTGTTTGAACTCGGGCGGTCTATGCAATAAGGCGGGAGATGGCCCGGAGATATACTCAACTTGAGCCGGCAAATATTGTAGATACAGTTTTCTTCACTGCGGCCCGAATCTAGATCTGTATTACACGTTCTTGTTATATATATATATATATATATATATATATATATATAGGAAATAAAATGCTATTAATCGATATTTGGGTTAGGGATTCGACCAAGAAAAAGCAACAACCGGTTGTCAAATAAGAAATAAATAAAAAAACTAAATAAATCTCCAACGTTTTACGAAAGAAGGCAACATTTCTACAAACTAATGGACTTCTAGTAGAGTATAAAGTAGATAAACTGTCTCCGTGACAACCGTCTCCATGACAACCGATTTCGTTGACAAACGTCTCCTTGACAAAAGTCTTCCTGTCAACCGTTACTTGACAACCATCTCCTTGACATTCGTCTCCGTGACAACCGTCTCCACGACAACCGTTTTCCTTGACAAATGTCTCCTTGACAACCGTTTCCCTGACAGATAAAAACTCGGCCTTGAGCTATAGTCAGTGCTACTGATGTGGGTCTGAAACTAGGAATTGTAGAATCAAACAAAAGTCATGGATTTTTTTTCGTTTGTCAGTATTTAATGTCAGTGTGGAAGAGAGAGCAGGAGGTTTAATGTAATGATTTACAAGTAATTAATCTTATATCCTAATATATAAAAGCCCATGTGCGCACTTCTCTCTCTCTCTCTCTCTCTCTCTCTCTCTCTCTCTCTCTCTCTCTCTCTCTCTCTCTGTCCGCAAAATTTTTTCGCCGGATATCACGTCAGAATCTTCAGCGATATATGGAGTACTTGATACGGACGTTTGTTGAAAATAATATGTTAGATGTTTTAAATCTATACCCACAATTTTATTTAGAAGAAAAATAAAAAATAGACACGTATTTGAATGTAGAAAAAACAGTTTTAATTATGCAACAGGAAAAGCGTTTATAGTTGTGAAAAAGAACGCATAAAACTGTGACGTCACTAATGTTTGTACATTAAATGATGACGTCATCTGCCGTGTTTAGAATAAAAAGAAATGAACTATTTCATTCAAATTTGATTTAGATCTACGTACGCTATGAAATGTATATAATACAATTTTTCAGGCCTAAACTTATAGATGATAGTGTACTTGATACCACGCAGGTGGTGCGGGATCGAGACACACCAAGTCAAACTTAATTTTTTTTATATGTGTAGATCTACTCATCAAGACGTACGCTATGAAATATATACAATTTTATCGGTCAAACACATTACTTAAAAACAACATAACGACCATTGAATAGCCAGATTTTTAACGGAATCATTTAAGTCACTTAATCAGTGCAGAGTTTCTTCCAGGCCTCTCTTCGGGGGGGGGGGGGGTGGGGCGGGAGGAGGAGCCCCCCCACGAAACAAGTCTACCGCCCCCCCCCCCCCCCCGAGCGAAATGAAATTTATATAGAAAATATATACTTTTAACAATGTCCGCCCCCCCCCTCGAAGAAAGTTTACCCCCCTCCCCGAAAATTTCAAGTGCCCCCCCCCCCCGGAGAAAAATGTCTGGAAAAAGCACTGAATCAGTGTGTGCCTGTGTTATGTTAAATGTGTCGGATTTTTAGCTAATTAGTTTTCTTTGCTATGTCACTAATATCGTTCAGCGTGTTGTAAAGCACATTGCGTTTTGACCAATAACTATTTCATAAATTATTTTTCTCAAACAAGTACATTTTAAAATATATAGGCCTATAATTCACGTGAAACGGGTAACGATGGCTAGTAATTATAGATTCGTCACATACACATCTTGGAATACTAAAAAAAAAACAATACTAGAAATTGCCTTTTTCAAGTACATTTAAAAAAAAAAGTAGTCCTAGATTTTAATTTTTCTGTGACGCCATGTAGAAAAAGCCTACTTGGTTCTTAAACTAGATGAAATAGTTTCTACTGAGGGCACGTTTTATGAATTAGTTCAGACGGCAGAAATGTAATCCCTTAAACATCGTGACACATTTATAAGATTTCCTTAACCCGCTTCCACCACGATTCATCGATCTTCTATCGATATATTTTTTTTTTGGAGCCAGGTACACCAATCCCCCCTCCCCCCCTCCCCCTAAAATACCACCCCAAATTTGGCTGGTCTGTTGAAAAAAAATGATATTGACATTTTTCTTTTCACGCAGTTCTCGCATATTGCGAAGTGGTCGCCCTTTTATAGCACGACAAAGTGGTCGCCCTTTTATGGCACGGCAGAGTATTCGCCCTTTATGATAAGGTTTATATAGGAAGATCGTCTTTTAGAACTCACGCACTGTGCTGAGTATATACATGAGAGTGGAGCGGGGGTTTTGTAATGGCGTTTATCTTTTCACTAGTGTCTGGTATTTTTGTTCAGAAACTGGTGACATTTTATTTATTGCATATTTTGTCAGGCTGCCATAAAAAGCGCAAACAGGAAACTGCGAAACGGAAAACTGCGCAAGCAAAAAAAAAATGCGCAAATACAAATTTATTATACTAATACACTTTATCTTACTGTCATATTTTGTGGAAAAGAGTTTTATTATGCTACAATTTACATGTGGTCATTTGTTTGTTAATATCTATAAATGCTTGATTTAAGAAAAACAAAATCCGGTTGCGCACTTTTTTGTGCGCAGTTTTTCCGTTGCGCATCTTTCCGGTCACCATTTTGTCTCTATCTGTTAAGTTGTCTCATTATGCAATATTGAGGTCAGCAAGCGCATCTCTTTGAAAGTGGTTTAAAAAAAATATTTCAAGCTACTTGCTACAAACGCTCGGCTGCTAACCCGAAAGTCTCGAGTTCGGATCTCAATCCGGACTTGAGTTTGCTGGTCGTCCATGAGTCTACCCAGCTCTGACGGGTACCTGACTCACACAATGGAAAGAACAGACGGCTAGGCATAGTGTTAAACACACCATCTCTTCATAAACTGAAGTAAAAAAAAATAGATGAACTCTACTTCACTTGCCCATGTGGACCGCCTGGTTCAAAGTCACCTCAATCTCACCCCGTATCACCTATTTAATCAAGTCACCGCTGCACTATCATGTATCACCTCCATTACCCAATATCAAGTCACCACTAGTCTACAACCTCAGGTCACCATCTCCATCTCAGTGTTTTTTCCAGTCATCTTGGGGAAGGGGGCTCCGCGTCCCAGAAGAAAGTCTACCCCCCCCCCCCGAACGAAATGGAATTTATATAGAAAATATGTACTTTTAACAGTGTCCGCCCCCCTCCCCCCTTAAAATTGAAGTCAGCCCCACTCCCACCCCAACCCCGGAGAAAAAAAGTCTGGAAGAAACAATATTCTATCTCACATGAACTTTAACTAACCCATGTCAAGATTTCATTGCATTCATCATCTAATTACCCTTAAATCTCCACTATCAACCAATATCCAGTGCCGGCGCCAGGTTATTTAGCGCCCTAGGCAAAACTTATTAAAACTTCCCCTTTCACACAAATTATTTACTAAAACATATGTATAAGAAAACAATTAATTAAAAGTGACATATTAATTTATAATCAATTGTATAAACGTTATAAGTAGACATTAAAATAAAATTTTACTAGCCTCCTTCGTTTCAAAAGTTTGTACTAATTCATTCAAGTTTGCAAGCGTTATCACATTTTTGTTATATAAATCCTTTAGGAGAAGGTGAAACATATGAAAAGACAATTAATAAGATATTTAATTTACGACTAACTGTATGTCTACTAACATTAAGTATTGCAATCTTCAACGGCTACTGATGGGGGTCATCCATAAATGACGTCACGCTTTTTTGACGATTTTTTACCCCCCCCTCCCCTCCGTCACACGTCACAAAAAGCCAGACCCCCCCTTAAATGACGTTACCACCTCAACCTACAACCCCCTAAAACGCGGAATAACGGCTAAAACTCGTTTTCTAACATTGCTTTTTTATAATGCAAAAGTGTGATGTCACACCATCTGAGCCCTTCTCCCCCTCATCACACTCCGTCACAAAATTACGGACCCCCCCTCCCCTTTACGAGTGTGACGTCATTTATGGACGACCCCATGTATTTGTTTTTCCACTTGATAATGCTAAAAAAAAACTACCAAACTTTTTTGTTTAGAACTTCTGCTCTATATAATTGTTACAATAGGAAATAATAACTTTAATTTGTATTTATAAGTAAGCGGTCAACCTAAGATGCAGGAATTTGAAATAAATATAAATTTCAGCAACGAATTATGTCCCATTTAGAAATACAAAGACCAAAGTTTTATTCAAGGGAAATAACTTTCTCAAGAATAGCTAAGTTAACCAAGTGTAACTAAGACATGCTTGAATAACACAATTAAAAGCTCTAAATTTCTTTACTTAATAATTATAACAAATCTTTTGTATTAGCTATGTAATCTTGTAAAAACAATATATTTTACTTATTGAATACTTAACTGTAGGCTTTATTTGAAAGTTTAAAAACAGTAGCTTTATTATAACATACTTTTATTTAATACTGATGACAAATATAATTGTGCATATTCATTTCAACAGCATTTAAATTTTTTTTGATACCCTAAAACAGGGGTTCCCAACCTTTTAATACTCTAGAGCACATTCTAACATATCGTTAGGGTGGCGGGCACCACCTATTTTAAATCGACAAACTCCTTCCAGAGGCGTAGCGACCCTTCCAGTCACCCGGGGACAAAAGTTTCGATTTGCACCGCCGCCCCTCCCCGTCAAATTTTCTATTTGCACCCCACCCTCAAATTTTCTATTT